AGATACTAATTTTGTTTTCTTTAGATGCATACTCAGAAGTGGGATTGCTGGATCATATGGTAATTCTATTTTTAACTTTTTTAAGACTCTGTACTGTTTATCAGTTTACATTCCCATGATAGTGCACAAGGGTCTCCTTTCTTCACACCTTACTAGTACTTGTTACCCTTTGCCTTCTTGATAATAGCTACCATAAGCAGTGTAGGATAATAGCTCATTGTGATTTTTATTTTATTTACTTGATGATTGGTGATCTTGAGTACTTTGCATGTACCTGTTGGCCATATTTGTGTCTTTTTTTGGGAAAATATATATTTAGAACCTTTGCCCATTTTATAACCAGTTTATTTGGGTTTTGCTGTTGAGCTGTAAGAATTACATACATACTTTGGTATTAATTGCTTATTAGATAATACGGTTCCCAAATTTTTCTCCTTTTTCAGTTTGCCTTTCATTTATACATTTATTTGGGGCCTCATCATTCTGTTCCATTTGCTAGGTAATTTGAGTTTTTACATTTTGTTGTCTTGCTTCAAAGAAAGCTGGGCTTTGTTCTGCTTTCTTATTTGCAAATTGATGTAATTGATATTTTCTAGTCTTGTGAGCTTTGTCCAGTGGAGAGTTAGCTTATATTTTGTTTTGAGAGCTCTACTAAATGCCTGAGTGTTGAAGAATGGTTTTTCTCACTGCTTAGAAGTTGAATGTGTCTCAGCTCTGTGTGAGCTCAAGGAATTACTAGACATACAGCTCCCCAATCTTTCTCTGCTTGTCCTCATCACGCTCAACACTATCCCGCATTGCTTAGTATTCAGTGATAGTCTAAGCTGTGGTCTGTCCTGCAAATACTATCTGCTTCACTGTCCTCAATATGTGATATTTTTCTTCAGTGAAACCCCTAATTTATTCTTGGGATTTTCTCTTCTAAATAATAAATCAGAAATTTCTCTGATGCAGAAAAGGGGTACTTTTAGGACTAATTTTTTTTTTTCAGGCAGAAGTTTTCCTCAAAGTATTATTTAATACATTGCACCATAAATCTTCTGGTTAAATAATATCTTGGCTTGTCTCATTTACTTTTTTTCTGAGGGTGTTACATACCATTTCTTCCCTATATTTCACCTTCTTATTTCAACCTACTTAAATCTGGTTCCTGGAGGCTCACAAATGACCTAATTCCCGGGCTTAGTAAATGTTCGTTTCTTCCTAAAACTTTCTTTTCACTTTTTCAGACATCATATTTTGGCTTTCTTTGTACTTCTTTTAGTACTCCATCTCATTATCCTACTCTGTCATTTTCTTCCTGTTCTTTAATGCCCTAAAATTCTGCCTGTGATTCTTTTTTTTTTTTTCCTCATGAATTCTTAGGGTGTGTACTTTGCTTCTTCAGTTTTAACAATTTCCTCTGTATAAGTGACTTCCATACCTGCTTCTCTATCTTAGAATCCATAGTTCCAAAACTATGCTACCAAATACTTCTTCCTTGTTTTTCTGCTCCCTTCCTACTCTTTTCCACTATACTCTAGGCAGCGATACCTACTCAGCTAACAATAGGGAAAACTCTACATGGTTTTTCTCTGACTTGATCCAATTGGTACAGGCCCGTTCTCTGTGGAATAGTGAGTTGTATGTTGCTTCCACCCTTGGTGATGTCCCTCAGAAATTCTCATCCAGCTCAAATGTAACTTTTGATGTTCCCAAACATATTTATTCTTTAAATGTGTTACCTGTTCTATGGTCAGTGCCATAGTTTTAGTAGAATATATATATCTGTTCTCACCAGATCGTGATGTCTTTGTGAAAATGATTCCATTTTCTCTCAAGTCCATAACTTTTCACAGCAGCCGGTACTAAGCATGTGAAAATAGTTTTTTGTGTTGGACTTTATAAATTACTAGCCTGTGGTCCCAGAACCTTTTATTCTCCCATTGCTGCCACAGTTATCTTTTTTTTTTTTTTTTTCTTTTTGAGACAGGGTCTCGCTGTGAAGTTCAAACTGGCCTTGAGCTCACTCTGTAGCCCAGGCTGGTCTCAAACTTGCAATGATCCTCCTGTCTTAGCCTCCTGAGTGCTGGGGTTACAGGTACATGCCACCACACCTGTCTTTTTCAATTTTTTTTTTTTTTTTTTGTACCAGGAATTGAACTCAGGACCTTGTGCTTGCCAGGCAGGCACTTGTGCCACTGAACTATATCCCTAGACCCCACAGTTAACTTTTTAATATTAGGCTTTTTTTCTTTTCTTTTTTTTTCCTGTGTTTTTCTTTTTGTCCCAAACTTCTTAAAACTGCTTATTTACACAATAAAATTTAAGGTCCTATCATGATGGACAAAGTCCTAAATAAACTGACCCAAGGCCTCTTTTTCACTTGCATCCTATCATTGCCCTGAATGTGCTTCCTTACCGTTGCTTTTTTTCTCTTTAGAATTAGTGCAAAAGGTTTATTATTTATTATGCATAGGTTTATGCTCAGCTATGCTAGAGATACGAGGTGGATAAACTTTTAGTAGTAATTCTTTGTAGTTTTACCTTATAATTATTTTCCATTTGTGCAAAAGCCCATCCTCCGAGATTTAAATGGAACGTGTTTCATCTGTGATGCCCCACCAGATCACTCCAGCATAATCACTCTGCCTTCAAATTCTTGTTAATGTCTGAATTACAGAACTTACCATAACTGTCTTGTGCATTTCCTTCATTGGGTTAGAAGTCCTAATGGCAGGGAATGTCTTTTTTTTTTTTTAAACCACTTTAATAAGTAGCTATACTTGCTTAGAGGGTATATCTGGAATTTGGAGATAAGTATGCACTTGGGAGAACATTACCACAATCAGTACTGTACAAATAAGAGATTATGTCTTAATCATCATTGTATCTCCTCTCTTTCCCTTCCCAGTGTCCAACAGAGTGACTTTAAAATAATTGATGCTCATTAAATGAATACAGAATTGGAGAGTTGGTTTAAAGCCAGGGTGGAAACTGAGAAGGATGATCCAGACAGGAGGAAAATCATGAGAGTTGCATTAACCAAAGCCAGGAAATATGTTTCAAGAAAGAGGAAAGTAGTTGATATCTTAAGCACTAGAACAGCAAGAAGTGATGCAGACTGTGAATAGATCGTTGACTTTGGCAATTAAGAGACGGCTCGTTAACTTAACAAGAATAAATCTCATAAAGTAGCAAGAGTAGACATCAGATGGCAACGGGTTGAGAAATAAATAGAAATCTTCCCCTTAAATATAAATTTTTAACAGATATTTTTATAAAAATTGGCTGGCAGACAAGTTGAAGATATATGATCTAAATAAAGATCTAGAATCCTGAATATATTATATTAATTTAGGAAGGATCTATATTTTTTGTAAAGTGGATGAGCAGTAGTAGACTTGACATACTTTTAAGAAAATTTAGAAAACTAATGACTATCTCTGTCCCATTGGGAGACTCCCGTAACTCTACATAGACATCACAGAGCTTTATTCATCAAAGTTACTAATATTTTATATAAAGCATAGTGTAAAATGTTTAAACTTAGAAATTTTTAGGAGTTGTTTGATTGATAATCCAGGCCTCTTTCTACTCCCTGCCCTTGTGTGGATAGTAGTGCATGAATAATACATATCTGCCTGTGTAAAACGAATGAATTTTTAAAAGTATTCCTGAATAATTACATAAATTGGTTTGACTTTTAACGTTCTGTATTTGAGCATTTGTTAAATATACTTAATATTTCTGTAGTGAGAGTCTTTGTTATAATGCATACTATGTCATAATTTTAATAACTTGTTTGCTTCTTAGTATTACATAGCATAGTAGTGCAGTCTCAGTAGTAGCTTCTTAGATTTGGTTAATATGACAATAGAGTAGGAAGCGTTAAGTTTAGAGATTATGTGCCAATTTAATACAGTTTCTGTCTTGCTCTTGCCCTCGTTCTTGCTGCCTCTTGGGAAAAAGGAATCTGTAGGGAACCTACTTTATGTTGTAGTACTTGAAATTATGATTTATTGTGCATGGAACATGTCTTTCTTAGTTTTGGAGAAGCATTATGAATCATTGATTGGTGTGAAGACATTGTAGTGTAGGGTTTGGTGACTGGTTTGTTTTCCTTTAATCACACATATGTATTGAGCACCTACCATGTTACCTGGCATTGTACTTCACACTGAATAATCTTTCATTATTCTTGGCAGATTTCTTTATAGTGAAAGGGTTTGACAAAGACTGTCGTCAGTTCATAGCTCTTGGCACTCCCCCTTCTTCATGCACGGTGCTGAATGGAGAAGAGAGCTGGTTATTCGCATTTTTTAAGTAGAGAACTGGAACTGGGTGTTTGGTCACAGTAAGCATTCTGGAAGTATCTGTGGCCTGTTGGGTGAACAGTGGTTAATAAGAACTATATGAGGAATAATAGAAACTTCTCAGCCTATTTTGGATGTTATTAAAGTAGATTAAAAACTTCAAGCCTTAAGGATTCTCACTGCTGAAAATGTTGACTGAAACTTTGAATTTATTTCTAGAGATATGCTGAATCAACAGTTGTAGACTAAAAGTTCATGTAAATCAGTTTCAGCAAATCAGTAGTCCTTTCTTGGAAATCAGATGCAGATTAAATAAAAACACTGCATCTATGCTTGTGTTCCTTTGTTTTTAATAATGTCTGCATACCTGGGCCTTACAAGACGGAAGCAACAGTGCAGCGAGGGGAAGATGTACTCTAATGAAGCATACTTTTTTTCCTCTGGTAACTGAAGGTTAAATGGGTAGCAAGCAGAATGCCTTAAACAAGATTGGTATATTGATTAAAACGCTGATTTAACAGCTCGCAGTTTCCCCTTGGAAACCTGGAAAAGATAAGCCAGCTGCTGTCTAAGAGTGCTTAGTGTCCACTGAGAGTACAGTATCTATCATCACAATATGGTGATGAGAGGTGTTTTATGTTTGTGTTAATTTCCCCCACTAAATCAGTAATTATTACAATCCTGTCCCTGCTGTTTACCCTGCAGCTGTTTTTCCATTTGTCGAGAGAGCGGGTGTTCTCTGAGGACCGCACACGTTTCTATGGTGCAGAAATTGTCTCAGCCTTGGACTATCTACACTCCGGAAAGATTGTGTACCGTGATCTCAAGGTAAAAAAAAAAAAGTAATCAAAATTTGTATTTGCAGAGACTATAGGGACAAACAGAGTAATTACAAAGTTACACAGTTTTGAGAAAAGCAGATTTAGTTTGAAAAAAAGCAGTCTGTTTAGGAATGTAGTTTGCCACATTTGACAGGAAATTTCATTCACTAATATGGATGGGGTTCCTTTATGTCTGAGTTTAATGTGCAAAATAATTTTTGCCTGATTGCTGTGGTCACCTGTAATCTACAGTAGTACAGAAGTTTTATTTTCCAGTAACTATTATAACTAGAGAAATGTTAAACATGTGAGTAAAAGGTAACTTTACAAGTAACATTTCATAGAAAGTTTCATTATATTCTCACATGCTTATGTTTGTGAAGAATTACTATACAATGTTTATGAAGGAACTTTTATAGTAAGACCATTAAAAGGAGAAATTTTGCTAGGTTTAAATGTCTTAAGCATTTCAATACAGCCTTTTATTAGTTTGCTTAGGTTTTCATTTATAAAGGTGCAGTATTTTATTGGTAATAGAGTTTCTCAACTACTCTAAATTTTTCTAGAGTGTTCAGACACTTAGAATAGCTCAGGATAGGCAAACAGTGTATGAAGGCCAGGATGGTAAGTATTTGAGTTTTTTGTGCTCATGAAGGCTGAGACAATTTTTGAAACACTTTGTGCTCTGTTGAAACTATTTAGCTCTGCCATTGGAGGGTAAGCCTGCGCCAGTCCTTAGGCAAATGAATATGTTTTACTGTGCTCCAGTAAAACTATTTACAAAAGCAGGCAGTGATCTAGCTTGGCCCGTATACCACAGTATACTGATCCCAGGGGTAGGTTATGTGAGATAGTAAACTTCACACCATTGTTACGAACATGGTTGACTTATTTAGGAAATTTTTACCTTGACATTTTAAACAAATACCTAAACGTAACAATGTCACTTCAGAAAGCAAATCGTAGAAAGTAGGTAAAGTAAATCATATGCCATAAATCATGTAATTTTGATCTGTATAATTGATTAATTGATCAAGTACTGGTTTATTTAAGATACGATTTGGTTTGTAGAAATAAGTTACCTGAAATTTTCTGAAATTTTATTTTGTGTGAAATGAGTTACATATCTAACAAAAAAAACTTACCCCCATATTCTCATCTCAGTTTTAAAAAAACCTATTATTTTTATCTGATTATTTAAGCGGTTGTCTGTGTTATTACAAGATACTCCCTATCATGCTCCTTCATGTGGTAAGTGACTTTAATGAGTAGCGAGCTTATAAATATTATCTTACACACTTACACTGTATGTTATTCATGCAGTGAAGTATAGTATGTATAATTTGTTGCTTTATTAAAAGTTTTTAAAAGTTTTAAATACTTTTAAAATACTTAGGAACGGATGAACTGTATAAAACACCTAGTTTAGAGATGACTAAATGAGTACAAGTTACCTGTATGTTTATATTTAGCTTGAATATTTCTGTAACTAGAAATACAGCAGAATTTAGGATCTTTGTATCTGCTATGTGCATGTTTCAATAATTCTATAATATTTAATGAATATAGATAAATGCTTTTAAAGAACTTAGTTGCATGATACGATAAAATGTTATTAATTTCCCAGATTTACTCAGAAATATTCTGTTTTCTTCCTGAGTCCATTCCTACTTCATGTTTTCTGAAGCCTATTTGTGGGAGGAAGAATGGAAGAGGCTTTGGTTTTAGTATTTTTTTTTTTTTTTTTTTAAACTATTCTCTTTTTTGGTACTGGGAATCAAACTCAGGGCCTTGTGCTTGCCAGGCAGGTGCTGTGCTGCTGAGCTACATCCCCAGCCCGAGGCCTTGGTTTTAGGAAATAATACTAGTTCTGAAGTAATGAGTAACCTACCTAAAATACTTAAAACCAGAAGACAGAATTATTAGCTTTAAAAAGCCTAAAGAAAAGAATGTTCATTTGATTACTAGCATTGATTATAGAATAATAATTAGGATGGTCTTCTTGATTGACCATTTGTAATCAACTGAATCAATGTACTGGTATAATGAAGTTCATTAGGTATGAATTTTGTTGCCTTATCCTTTCTGATGGTGGAAGTAGACTAAATTTGTTAAGGGGTTGCACAAGGTGCCTACTTTACATATGAATAATCAATGTGTATTTATAATATGTAGAGACCTCTAACTTTACTAAACAGTTTAAATGGTCTTTCCTCCCACATTTGGTTTCTAACATAGCCTTAATTTAAAGACTGGGTCAGTGTGCGGCACACATTCATGTGAGTGTGCACCAGAGAAGGCAGGTAGTGTGTGGGTGTATATACTAGGGAAGACCTATAGTATAAGAAATCAGACGTTCACATGGACACACATAACAACTCGTGTCCATAGCACACAGAAGTGTGCCTAAAAGAATGACATGATGAAGGCAGGATCACAGAAATTTAGAACTGGTCTGTGTTTTACAGGTGATGTTCTTCAAGCCTGGAAGAGTGTTTCTAAGAGTAATGGACTACATTGGTGACATAGTCAAGATTATTGGAACCCAAGTGTTAGCTTTCTGTCCATTAACAAAATACCTGAGGTGACTGACTTACGAAGAAAAGAGGCTTGTTTTGGCTCACAGTCTAGGCAGTTCAGTTAGAGGTCAGGTTGATCCCTGAGGAGGGTGCTAGATGGTAATGGTGGCAGCATGTATGTGGTAAAATAAATACAGCTCATCAGCCAAGAAGCAAAGGCATAAGAGGTAGGATCTGGGGCTCCACTTTCTCCCTCAGGACCATAGCCCTACTGAGCCCCTCCTCCTGAAGTTTTCACTACCTTCCCTGTAGCACTACCCTCAGAAGCAAACCTTTAATACATGGGTCTTTGGGGTCCAGGAAAGGGTGGAATACATTCAAGGGCCAAACCATAGTACCGTGAATCCTAGCTCCTGGTGTAGTGTTCTTTTTCACTATCATATTCTGTCTTTCTAGAGTTGAATGAAATTAGGTAGGTGAATACTTTGGATTAACTGTAGATGTTTGTAAAGCTAAAATTCAAATGAAGCTACTGAATGTAAGCAGATGTTTCAAATATATTTTTATCAGATACCCTAAAAACAGGATGATCAAAAACTGATTTATGTACCCACTTTTTTCACTGGTCTCAGATTTGTCTGGTCCTATTCTTAATGAGGCAATGACTATTTCAGTACAGATTTATTTGAGATTCTTACGGTAACTGTAATTGTGAAGCAAGCCAGTACCCAGTTGCCACTTGACTTTTAGCATTGGGGGCATTTGTGGGCAGGTTAACATAATGTTTTTTTTTTTTTTTTTAAGAGCAGAATATACTTATTGAGGGAAAGAAAGCCTCTGTCCAAGAGAGGGACAGAAGGGGGGGCCCGAGTGGGTTGCCCCGGGACTCTGTCTTTTCTAGGGACTTTTATAGAGCAAACAAGGTGAGGCAGGTCCAAGGTAGGGGGAAAATGGACAAAACTATGGTCAGCCAATAAGAATTGTTCAGGTAAAATAGATTAAATCGGGATTAAATGGGGAAGTCATATAGCAAGCTGGCATGAATACAGAACAGGGGCTTTTCCTGTAAGGGGTTGGGTCAGGGACTCTTCAAGGTGATGGCTACCTATTTAGGATATCAATCCCTGATCTTTACACCTAGGGAGGTATTGGATGTATTTGTTTAGTCCTTTGTCTTTTTTTTTTTTTTGGTGTTTTTGAGACAAGGTCTCGCCATGCAGTTCAGGCTGTCCTTGAGCTCACTTTGTAGCCCAGGCTGGTATCAAACTTGCAAGGATCCTCCTGCCTCAGACTCCCGGGTGCTGTGATTACAGGCGTGCGCCACTACACCCGGCTAGTCCTTTGTCTTGGTGTCTGGCCCACAGCAAATACATATCTTGTCTTTCACATTGGCTCCTTCGAGGGCCTGGCCCTATCTGACTGCCTATAATATTTCTATCTAACTCAGCTACCTATAACATTGTCCCCTCTGAAGAAGTAACCCAAACTGCTATAAGGGAGTAATGGGCGATGACCGCTCTGGCTTCTTCAGGCTCAAAGAGGTCGTAGTTGTTGATTGGCAGTCAGATACTCCTCAGAGGGTCTATCTAAAAGCCCTAGATAGACACTGGGTGTTTTCATCTTGGGTAGGCATATAGCTTTAAATCTCCGTCCAGGGATCTCAGTGGGGAGCTCCAAAATGATACAGGAAAATAAAAACTCCCAACCTGAACGGTGTCTGGGTCGAGTTTCTGTTCTCTAAAATCAAAGAATGAATTTTAGGAACAATGGAGGTTAAGAGCAGAATATATTTAATGAGGGAAGGAAAGCTTCTGTCCAACAGAGGGACAGAAGTGGGGTCTGAGTGGGTTGCCTCCTAACATAATGTATTTATTGGCTCCTGTTCCCTAGTAACTTAGTGTTCATAATAACACATTAACTATTTTAATGTTTTTTAGAAACTCAGTTGCTTATGATTACTTATGAGAAACTAATGTTCATGATAGCATAAAAATTGGAAGAAATCTCTCCAGCAGTGCAGTTATTTTTGTTCGTTTATTTGATTTTTTTGAGATAGTTTTGCTGGTAGTCCAGGCTTGGCTTGACCTCACTGTGCGTGCTGTGTCTCAAGACTCATTTCTCAACAGCCACTTCTCACTAGACTTACTCTGTATTCTTTCTAGAAATGTTAGCCACTGCTACCTCTAAGCTTAAACTGAACTGTTGGGCTATGTCTTATTTTGTATAAATTCTTAAATAGCCTGACAGCAAGGAGTAGGGATCTCCACTATTGTGTGTTGAGTTTTTTAAACACTAGGAGAGTCAAAGGGAAGAATTACTCTTTTCATTATTCTTTCAGCACACTGCATTTCATGGTCATTCAATTCCTGCAGGTCAGTTCGTAATATTTTGGCATTTAAATGCTTGTGTAAGCCTAAATCCACAATGTGCGGAGCTGAAATTACTTACTGCCTTGTTGGATCTGAGACAGCCCTGGTGCCTGAAACAG